AAAAAAAATGGAGGCAGTTCTTTACACAGAGTTATGAGTGTCTGAAATAAGCCGCCAATCCATGTTGAGAAAGCAGATTCCATGGGACCCTGCAAGAACAGGCTAGATAAGATCCTCCAGTTTTCCAGTCTGTGGGCACGGCTCCCATAGAGAGCTGAAATATGCTAGCTAGGAGTCTTAGAATATCATCCCTCATTTCCTTAATTCTGACTGGAAAATGCCATCAGGCCCCAGGGATTCATTTAGGTTTGAGAAACGCAGACTAATTTTAGACTTTGTTTTTGAATTTTATGATACACATCAAAAGATACTGCGTCATGGTCACAATTTCCTAAAGATTCTATCACATCTGTTCTCTTAATTATACCCCGGTTGTTTGAAAAGATAAAATCGAAAAGAGCATCTTGTGCAGTTTTTGCTTTTCCAAACTGCATTAAGAAGCAAATCATTAAGCATGTCCATCATTTCATTGGTCACCTTCTTTATTCTTCATGCCAGCATCCCAAACTGTGCTCTAAAAATGGGAAGTTCTTTGTCTGAAGCTTGGGGATTTACAGGAAGTTCTTGTCAGTCTCCAGAACGTCACGGCCAGACTTTGTTTCGCATTGGAGAGACTGCGGAGTGCAAGCAAAGGGAGAGAGTGATTCTGCCCAGATACCTCCGAGACGTCAATGCCTACCACTACCTCATTACCACACAGGTATGGGGCTGTTCCACAGGAGGTCGTTGTCTGTGCTTGTCACGAGTGTGTAAACAGACGGTTAACAGAGTTAAAAGTGAACGTGACCTCTTTGTTTTCCATCAGTATTCTGCTTACATTATGGACGAGCGTTTTCCGGGTCTGCCCATGATCAAGTGGGAGCACATGATGAAGTATCCGCCCATGTTTACCCAAGTCCTTGCTGGGGCTCCCTGGGGCAGGAGCAGCAAAGTGTTGTTGGGCTCTCAGTGCTGTCAGGAGCTGATGCTGCTACAGTATTCTGGTAAGTCCTGTTTTCTCTGTCAGAAGCTGCATATTTAAGTAGAGTTGTGCAGGAGGTTTCTAGAGAACAGCAGGATCGTCAGTTTGGCAGCAACTTTGAAAATTTGACAACCCTGACGGGTTTTGGTGGCTGGTACTACATTTAGGATTTTTTAACTTGTGTTGAAGTGTAGCCCAGGGGGTCTCAGACCCTGGTCCTGAAGAGTCCAGGTCCGGCAAGTTTTATAGGTGACCTTTAGGTCATCAATCTGTGAAGGCCAGCATCGATTTAAACTGGTGGTGTGTTTAATTCTGTTCAGTGATCGTTTGGAATGAAAATCAGAATATCCTTCTGTTCAGAAGGACCAGTGTTCCCTTCAATGAAACATTACATGTTTAAACAGTCGATCAGTTAAGCAGTTACTCCTGGTCTTTAACAGGTGATTTAGGGTCACCTGTGAGAACAAAAATAACTAGAATTGTTTTGAAATCTTGTAAAGTACAATTTCCTGCTTTCGTAGCATTGAACTGTTTACAGATGACAGAGAGAGAGATAAGATCACTTTATTGGCCAAATACAATTTCTTGCATTAGGAATTTGTCTTTTTGCATACCCCAGCTTGCTCTCCATGAGACACACAGACAGGGAGAGAGCCTGGGGTCAGAGCACAGGGTCTGCCATCATACAGCGCCCCTGGAGCAGTTGGGGTTAAGGGCCTTGCTCAGGGGCCCAACGGAGTAGGATTCCTCTGCCGACCACAGGCACAGATCCTTAGCCACAGTGCCACTGCTCCGCCCCAAGCTCCAACAAGCACTATGCCATGCTTGTTCCCAGTCTGTACAGTACATCTGTGGCTAATAAATAGATGTATTGTGTTTGATTTTCTCCTTATCAAATAGTTTTCTTTATAAAATAGAGTTTGTAACACGGTGGTTTATGAATACCCTGATGATGTGACAAGAGAACTGCCTTATTGAGACATGTTGGTAAAATGCTTACACTACATTGTCTGGACAACATAAACATTTTAGTAGACATTTCATTGACTGGTATTCTTGAGATGTGCATTTCCCTACTTCTAAGTGATTTGAACTTGGACCCCCAAGCACAAGATGGTGCAGGTTTGTCATACTGAATATGTAAAAAAAACATGGACACGGTGGTGTGTATATACTGTATTGTCTGTATCAAGAAGACCTTTGAAAAATCACGAACGTGTGACCTCCAGGTGGCAGTCAAGCTGCGTGCCAGTCTCTGGGACCTCCGCAGAAGCTGTGTAACCCCCCTGACTGCCTGAAACACCTCCCCATCCAGATCCCTCACAGACAAGAGAGTGTGGCAGAGAGGTTACGATCACCTGGCGCAGGTAAAAACACTGTCATTCATGGTTCCTTCTCAGACTGGTATTTAAAAAAAAATTATCTGATGTATGTCTTCATATATTGTCCCCTGTTATTACGGAAGACGGGAACAATACATGGAAATGTCATCTTTCCTGCCTACTCTTTGATTATAATGATCCACACGTTTGCTTGGCTAAGATACAGAATCAAGGGTTATTACTTATATAATAACTTGGCTTTTTGTTTGCGGTTTTTGATGACATTTAACTTGTTTCACCCAGAAAGGGGTTTAGATAGAACCTGATTGCTCAGCTTAAAATCTAAACTTTAAATATTCATCAAATATTCATCCATTGAAAGGTGCTGAATTTTGCAAGGCACTGTAGATTTATAAGTTTGAACTAACGTGCTTATGACGTCAGTTGTGCATGTAAAATAAAAACATTTTCTTTTTTTTTCCTCCTAGGCTTGGCGGCTTTGTACCATAACCAAGGAATGGAGTCCCTTTGTGTGCTCCAGTTGTCTGCAGCAGGAGACATCTTCTACCAGATGCTGAGACCAGAATCGGACCCTGGAAGTGAAGACGTACCAATAAGCACAGAGTCCACAGCAGAAGAGGCTGAGGAAATGAGAGCTGAGACAGGGGAACCAAACTTGGACCACACCTCAGATAGTGATTTGGATGATACGAGGAGCGAAGCTCAAGATGATGAAACGGCGGTGCACCGAGTAGATGTGATGACTAATCGTCAGGCGGGGCAGCATCTTGACTCGGAAATTCACTTGCAAGCAGACGGAGAGACTGGGGAGCCTGTTCCTGTGAACCGGACCGACTGTACCAGGAGTGTGCTGGTGGGTTCCAGGCCAGGGAGGAGCCCAACCATTCCAGTGGTGGCCAGTAAGAAGGTCCTCAGTCGGTGGAAAAGGTGGATGGCTGCCTTGTTTGACATGGCAGAGCGGGCTCCTCGAGAAACTAATTCTCTCTGGGTAGTAAGCACCAAGAAGCTCATGTCCTCCAGGGCTTTCAGAAAACACGCTTCTGAGGACGGCAGGTACGAGGAAGTGAAGAGGGAGCTGAAGGAGACCATGAGGAGTAGAGGTGTACTCCAAGGCAGCCGCACGCACCTGAAGGCCCTGGAGAGAGTCCCCCTTCCAGAGGCCGTGGCCCCGTTAGACTGGGGAGATGACCTGAGCCGTCGGCTCACCGTGGCCTGGGAGGGCAGATGGAATAACTGGTGGGTCGAGAAGCTGGGGCTGAACCGCGACCAGAAGATCATGGCCCTGCGCCAGAAACGGAAGAGGCAGAAGGAGTCCAGGGCCAGGCGACGACCGGCTCTCCCCGCGAGCTTCACCTCTTCGGTAGGCTATCAGTCCGACTTGGACGACCGTATGAGCTGGTGCTCCGCCACCAGCAATTTCGGAGATGGTCAGAGTGTGGCCTCTTCATCTGCCATCCAAAGTCTTTCTGCGCAAGAGGATGTGCTTCCAGCATCTCGTGGCACAAAGGAGAGAACCCCGGTCTTGTCCGCGCCTAGTCAGAGCGAGGGACCTGAAGCGAAAAGTTTGTCCGATTCCTCAGTTTCCTCGCGGGTGCCACGTTTACCCCCAGGCAATAAGGTGGTGGCGCCTCCAGACGATCCCGATGAACCAGATGCTGGAAGCTTTAGTACTTTAGGGTCTCCTCGGCCAACAGGTATCCTAAAGCCTTCAGGCTCATTTGCTAGGAGTGAACAGGAATGGGTCCCGGGTCACGGGTCTCAGAATTCCCAACCCGCAAGGAAAAACGATTTGTTCTCCTCACCTACCTCAAGGCCAGCAACTCAAGGGATGCTAAAAATGACGAATCAGGAAGCGGTAGAGGAAAATGGCTTTTCCTTCCTCTTGTCCCCCACTTCACAGACATTCAACATTTCCTCTACACAGACGCATCCCTGCGTGATGCCGTCTTCTCAAAGCTCCGTACGGTCTTCACAGCCTAAGAAGAAAAGGTCACGCATGGGCTTCTAACTTCTGAAAGACCCCAAATAAGTCATGTCTTTTCTTGAAGTATCTTTAAGCATTAGTACTCCTGCTGAGCAAGAGTGGATTAAGACTTAGTGATTAAAAAAGGAAGACTAAATGAAAGCCAACCTGTTCTGATGATATTCATAATTCTCATTTTTACTTGCGTAGTAACTGGTACATATGCTTTGTGCTAAAACAAACTTCGATGTAAAAAATGGTTTACATTAACTCAGGTGATGGTCAGAAAAGGAAAAATAAAACTGTGAAGGAAGAGATTTGGCTTTTGTCTTTAAGGAATTTGTTTGCCCAACACGAGTGAACAGGATTACACTGGCCATGCAGATTTGCTCCGACCTTTTTGGGACAGTTGAAATTTTTACTTTTCCACAATGTGTTACAAAACGTTTTGAGACCCAAGTGAAAACAACCAGCTACAGATAAGTGCCATTTTTCAAAATAGTATGTTTATTTACATGTTTTTCAATCATGACAAAATGTAAGATTTTTAACAAAACAATATGCAATAAGTTAATATCTACAGCAATCTATTCACAATGCTACTGGGTGTTCTTTTTTTTAAACTGCTTACAAATTTGTGCATTTTTATTTACAATATTTTATACAATGAGACTAAGTTGCACACATACACACAATGCATCAATCACCAAATCCATCTTCATACATCAATCCATTTTCATACATCAAAAAAAATTTAATTATTCTATTGTACTTTAACTATAACTCTTACTAACTCTTAGATGGCAGTTAGTGGTTAACTAAACTTGAAAAGCATAACACCATAAATCATTCCAGAGAATGCTTCTATTTTAAAGATAGAGATTGCACAAGCTGGCTGGTACACAAGTAATCAAGTGTGTAATTCAGATTTATTCCTGAATGCCTTTCATAAATAAAGGCAACTCTCCAAAAACTGTGCAAATTACGTGGTTTGGAAATTTTCCCTGGTATTTAACAGTCCATTCTGTAAGTCATAGACGCGTATGGCATGATGGTTAATATTTGTGCTTAACATTTTCTGGAATGTTACAAGTCTAAGCATGCATTAACTAAGTTTAAAAACAACAAGTAACACTCAGTAAAAGTTGTACCTGTAGAGTCAGCTGCCAAAATAATTTGTAATTTCCACATTTCAGCTTGACTTTCATAAGAATATACAGTATATTGATCAACAGGCACTTCGTAAAGCCCATTTTAGCACTGTAAAATCTAAGATTAAGCTTGTGGGATAGTCATACTATAAATTATTTAAAAATGTAATCAGAACATTAGATGTGGCACCAAGGGCTACAACCAGCCCCCTTAGTTTTAAAAACTCTTATGAGGTAGGACGTTGCTTGGCCTGCAAGCGGAAGAGCTCGGGGAAGAATCGTCCCTCTCCATCGCTGCCGGGGGAGCTGCTCAGACTGTCCTCCCCACAGCTCATGTCTTCACTGGAGTCCTCACTGCGGACAAGAGGAAAGAAAAACCATGCTTCCATCAGGGATGAGAGAAAAGCCAGGACTTCTTCACAAACAAGAGGGAGGGATCTGTATTTCATGCATCCCTGCTTTTATTGGTTTTTAATGTAGTCCGTATGTGTAGCTTTAGTATCAGGATGCTGATCGTCAACTTCCTCTTTCGCTTTTAACACCTGAAGTGTAGTATCCAGAGTAAAAACTGGTTTTGAAAGAACTGCTGTGGATACTGTGATGAGTAGTTTTGCCTCAGCGAATAAAAACTGCAATTTTGTCACTTCCTTCTATCCTGAGCGAGTCTCGCGACTGTAACTTCAGTCAAAAGTGAGTATTTAATACCACTAAATAAATCCGAAACGGGTAAAATTCCAGTCAGCCACTGTGCGTGTTTGTGATGCAATAGTCACTAGGTTACGGTGCTTGCCAAATTAAAAGACTAATGTCGTCAGTACCTGCCCACGTGCTTAGTGTGTAGCGCAAGAGTATCTGTGGATACGAACCGCCTCACCCTGACGAGGCAGGGAGGTAGTAAATACGCAAAATCCCCTGCTTAGTCAGAGGAAGTCTCTGTTCTAACAAAACCCAGAAGCAAGCAAGCAAGCAAGCCTGGAATTTTTTTAAGATTACATTTCTGACAACAATTCAGGGAATCCCGATTGTCTGATAGGTGCTGAAAGTGAGGAGTGATATTATGTTCACTTAATGGTATTTACCTCAGGCTGTATATTAATCTGAGAATACTAAAAACTCCAAGGTGTATTTTTACACTGCAATTACCTTTCGCTCTCATCCCAGCCACCTTCAGGAATTGTTGGCAGCTCAGGAATACTGCAGTAACTGCTGTGCAAATGCTGGGCTGTCCGCCTCGAAACAATCCAGACCAGTTTCTTATTGTCAGGTTTGCTACATTCAGGGGAGGAGTATTCGGTCATACATTTGGCCACGAGCTCTCTCCAATACTGTAGTTCTCTGTCGGCAATCTAGAAAGAAAACAAGATACCATCATCAAAAGCAACTTACACGCCCCACTTATAACAGCAGGGATTCGTTTCAGAGAGCTCCAAGAATTCCTCGAAGTGCCATTATAACAGTGCTAAGAGATGTGTTCCTGGTAACAGTTCCAGTACTGATACTCTACAAACCATCTATTGTGAAGTGCTTTGTAAAGAGTACTGGGAGCCTGCAGTGGACTGCACGTATATGTACTCCTTAATCCTTTTACTCTGCAGTATGGTAAATACGGCCATA